ACACACACACACACACACACACACACACACACACACTCACAGGAACACGAAATTTTCTAAAGGGCATATGCGGGACCGCTTTGGATTAAAATTTCTTTCGTTGCTTTTTTATGTTGAATGCATTTCTCTGCGCCTGCGACAGCGACTGTGACTGCTCGGGGCATGGGGGGCAGGGTACGGGCTGGGAAAATGTGAGCGCAAACGGGAACGGGGCACAAGGGACAGGGCATTTATTTTCGGCATTTGAAGTTGGTCCTTTGCAAACGGGGGTTCAAATTCAAAGCGCTAGACCGAACCGAACGAACGTGCGAAGGGTTGTTCGCAGTGTGTGTGTGCCTGGCTCTGTGCCTGTGCGTGTGTGTGTGTGTGTGTGTGCGCGCGGCAAGGAACACATTTGGATGCCAGGCTGCGTCTCAGTTTCGACTCCCTGTGTGACATTATGCGCCGGCAGCAAACGCAAAGTGTAAGCAGCAAATCGATTTTGGAATTCGTCTCATGCGAATGTGTGGAAAATGCTGATAAATGGAGACGCCAGCAAAAGCGGACAACTGGACAAAGGCCTGGACCGGCAGCACTAGCTAGCTGCTCATTGCCATGCTAATGAGGCCAGCCTAACTCCAACTGCAACTGCAACTGCAACTGCAATTGCAACTGGAACGGAACTGGCCGGACTCAGGCCCTTTTTTCGTGACCGATAAGGCGGGGTGCTCTCTCTCTCTCTCTCTCTCTCTAATGGCCGGGTTCTTTTTTTCATCTATGTCGAGCCGATTGCTGGGTTTTGTTTACCCACTTTGACGCTGTGATAAGATAAGCAAGCCGCTTTTACCCACACACAAGCACACTCACGCACACACACACACACACACACACAGACACACATAGGCGAATGCCCATGGCCAGCTCGTGATTCGGCGAGTTCTTTGAGCGAGTTTTCAGTAAATTCAAAATTCATAGAATGCAAATGTTGGTTAAACAACATTTTCGCCAGGCACACGACGTCGCCAAAGACCACACAGAGCCGCAGCCAGGTCGCAGTTGGGCACAGCCAAGGCAAAAACAAAGCAACCCGAGGCAGCTCTCAGAGAGCACCTCGTACGTGTTTGCTCAGCGGGGCAACGCGGGGGGTTTCCATAGCTCTGAGTCGGGTTTTCTTCTTCCAGTTGTTGTTGTTGCGGTTGTAGTCGGAGTCGCAGCTCCGGCTGAGCCGCTGCCTGTGACTTGAATTTGTAACTGAAACTAGAGCTAAAAATTGTAAACAGCCCCTCCCCCCCAGACCATGGTTTGGGCCAAAATGCGCCAATCTTAAAAGCAACATGGGCCACAGACTTGTTGTGTTAAATGGGGTTTCAATGGTTATACAAGATTCTAATGCCGAAAGTTCCTCATAAGTTTATCCTCAAATTAGCCTAGTGAGACAATTTACATGTGTGTACGTGTATGAATATATATGTGATATTTTAAAGTAGTTATTATATCTATACAAATTCCTGAAATGACAAAAAGTCTTAGAAAGCGGGTTAAAGTAAAAGCAGGAGAAACACAGAGAGAGAGAGAGAGCGGGCGAGAATGGCAGCGAAAGAGAGAGATAAAGATTTCCTATTAAAACGAATCAAAGCATATTTGAGAATCGCATAGTAGAACGATATAAAACGGTAGGTTCATAAGTAAAATTGGATCGGAATTGAAAATAAGCTCCGTTTGCGTTTGCTATAACAGTAATAAATACATATATATGAACAAATATGTACATACAAATATACAAACATACAAACAAACACACGTCCAGATGCGCATACATGAATACATAGATAGATACTCACACACCACATTCACATACATTGTTAACACAAAGTAAAAACCCCTTAGGCCCTACCTGAATTCATGAGAATCGCGTAGTAGGGCGAACATTTAAAACAAGTTTTTGTTTAATTTGCAGCGCAGCTTGGGAAATGGTCAAAAAAGTGACGTAAACTTGGGTTGCGTTTGGTCAAAGATGACATACGTATACACATACACATATAAATGCATGTATACATGCATTAGCAATACATACTCATAGGTACAAGAAATTGACGTAAATCTGAATTAACATTAGAAATTCTAAATTTAACTAACTTGCATTTATAGAACATTTAATAATCACGGTAGTTCAGCAGCTATAAAGGTCTCCTGACTTAACAAAGTTTAAGTGCAGTCCAATAGATTGTAAGCTCTGCCCTTGCTCCCGCTATACTCCTTGATAACATAGCTGTAATTGAAGCTTTTGTTACAGCACTTAACTCAAGCTTAAAAGCTTGACTTTGGCTTAAGGCTGAGAAGCTGCTTAAAGCTTGGCATTCAAAATTTGTGGCCAGGCCTGCAATTGATTGCACAGCATTAAGGCAACATTTCCAATTGGGTGGCTTTTCTGCATACATACACACATGCAGCATATACATACATGTATGTGTATGTATATGCATGGTATATGTGTGTACATGCACGCATATAATCATGTGGCGCGAACACACAAACACAAACACATGTGTGCGTGGGCACGCATACGCACATTTAATGCAAATTTAAGCAGTTAGCAAGCAAGTAAAACCGTTATGTCTATGTGTGTGTGCGTGCTCAATATGTGCTTGCCTATATATATAAATGCCTATGTGTGTGTGTATATATTGCTGCGCTGTTGCGGATACATAATGCAAGGCAATATAAATAATTGCAATACATATAAATTGCAGCTGTACGTGTGTGTGTGTGTGTGTGTGTGTTGCATAACCGCATTTGTCGTTTACATATGCTACAGATACATAGGCATATCCTTATGTAGTCAATACATGCCTATGTTAATATGTGTGTGTGTGTGTGTGTGTGTGTGCGTATTTAAATGTGCATCGATGGCTGCCGCATTGCATTGCAATTGCATTAGTGTGGCGTCCTTTTGTTCATTACACGCACAATGCTGGCATAAAACAAATCTACAGCAAAATACTCGAACGCATTTGTTAAATGAGACAAGTGGAGTAGAAGGAGGCGGGAGCAGGAGCCAGTTGCTGCTGGAGAAGATGTTGGGGGTAGACTGGCGCTGACTGATGTTGCATGCGAAATCCGAAACTGAACTTGCCCCCTGGCGGCAGCATCTGCATTCCTTTGCAGCTCCTGCCGTAACTCTACCTTATATATATATATGCATGTACATATATAGATGCATATATATTCAACCCCCAGGCGCTTCAAGAACTCTAGCAGAATTTTTGTTTATTTTAATTTTTACATATTGAATTTTATTTCAGTTTCTTCGTGTTTTTCTATGTGTGTGTGTGTTTGTGTGTGTGTATTCGCCTGAAACTACAACAAAAATATCAATAATAAAATGATATTAAACTTAATGCTAAACTTGGATACTCAAAGAAACGTCAGAGAGTTCAACATAGTTACATAATAATAATAATAATGATAATAAGATATTTCTGTCTTGAAATAAGGCCTTTATAAATATTGCATTTGGACTGAAATCAAAAAATAGGTTCAACAAAACTGACAGATCGGGAACTTGAGCTAAAATCGAAACAGAGCTGAAACTAGACTTAACATATAGCTACTATATAACATAGTTTTTATTATAGTTGTTTTCTTTCGTTTTTGTTGTAATTCTTTTAGTTTGTAGTTTGTCTTTGCTTAGTTAAAAATAAAATTACGTAATTCTTGTATTTTAGCATTTAATTGTTTGTTTTTGTTTATACATATATATTTTATATCACAATAGAAAAAAGAATTAATTCACATATTCTTTTCAATCGTTATAGTTTTTTTTTGTTTTTTTGTATGTTTTGTTTTTTAACTTTTTGCTTACTTATAAATTAAACAATAAAAAATTTACAGAATTTTCTTTAACGTTTCTTTTGTTGTTGTTGTTTTTCATTTTTCTTTTCTTTTTTTTTTGCTAGTAAACAAAGTTGTTGAGTTATTTGACTAATTGTTGCTTGACCAAGTTAAAAACTAAAACTAAATGTAAATTTATTAAATTTGCGTTAAGTGTCTACTATTAACATGTTTTAAATTTAATCGCCAACTAAATTAAACGGCATAACTAACGACGCTGCACTAAACAAATTCGAAACAAAAGCAAACAAAACAAAAAATAAAGTTCAACACAAAGAATCTCGTTGGGCCAAATACACAAAAAAAAAAATAGAAATACAAAAAAAAAAACATTTCTAACAAAAGGCAGAGACAGAGAGCGCCAACAAAGAGCAAACTTTTTTTTTTGTAGTCGTTGTCGTCGTCGTTGTTGTTGTTTTTGCTGTTGTTGTTGCCGTTGCGGGCAAGCTTAAAGCGCTGCTCACGTCGCTGCTGGCGTCGCAGCTGCCGCCATTGCTGCGCCTGTTGTTGTTGTTGTTGTAGTGTTGGAGGACGCTGGCTTTTGTTGTTTCTGCTTCTACTTTTTCGCTGTTGTTTCTGTTGTTGCCGAAGCGTGAATTAAAATAAACTATTTAAATTTATTTGCATCTGTTTAACTGCGGCCTGCATTATACACACAGACAAACACACACGCACACACAGCAAAGCACACATTTATGCATATGCATACGTGTGTGTGCGCTGCGTTGCCCGCGCTCTTTCTCCCTCTCTCTTTTACTCTTGCGCTATGCTTATCGCGCGTCTCCATCGCCATGCACTTTGTTGCTGCCGTCGGCCATAGCTGCAGTCGTGTTTTTTTTTCTCTCGTTTCTTTTTATCGCTGCCGCTGCGCTGCGTGCGTGTAAGCTGACGCGTCGCCCCCCCTCCCCCCTGCTAACCTATACCCCGTCAACGTAACGCACAGGCCCACAAGTGCGCCGCTGCCAGCCCCTTAGGAACCTGCGGCGGCAGCAACAACACACTAGACCAGAGCGAGCTTCAGCTCCATGACACCGTAGCCGTAGCAGTCGCAGTCGCAGTCGCTGTTTCTGTTGCCGTTGCCGTGCTTGTGACTGCGTATGTATATGTATATGTGTGTGTTGTGTTCATTGTTTGCTTTTTGTTGTTGGCGTTTGTTGTTTTCTGCCTCTCTCTCTCTCCCCCACACTCCCTCCTTCATCGTTGGCTCGCTCGCCTGCGCTCTGTCTCTGCTGTTGCTTTTGCTGTTTCGTTTTCTACTCGATTCGTACGAAAAAATTTAGTACAGCGTGTGGTATGGCAAACGAAAGCTATGAGTTTTCAGTGTATCTTGTTGTTTTTTTGTTTTTTTTTTTAACTTAGTTGTCTGCCCAACTCCGAATGTGTGTGTGTGTGCGTGTGTGTTGGGGTGTGTGCTGGTGTGTGTAATTACGTGCCTTGCCTTCACGTCAGACATGCAACACGGCACGCAGGTAGAAGGAGACGAGTAGGAAGACGAAAGTCAAAAAGAAGTAGAAGACGCAGCCAAAGTCACAAAAGTCACACGCACACACACACACACACACACACACGGACACAGACAGAGTGTGCGGCATCCTAAGCGTTAGCCTGCGCCGACTTCTCTGCCTCGGCGGCGGCACAGGCATTGCAGTCATGGTGAACGCATCATCTGACCAGCCAGAGGCCCAGATTGAGCTTCTGCAGCTTGGGCAGCTTCATGATGATGTCGATGCCCTTCGAGCTGAGCTGTGTGCAGCCATAGAGATCGATGGTCTTCAGATTGGACAGATCCTCGGCAAGCGTCTGCAGGCCCTTGTCCGTGATGCGGCTGCACTGGCCAATATTGAGATTCTCCAACTCGTGCAGCGACTTGGCAATCTTCAGCATGCCCTGATCCGTTATCTGGCACTGGTTGAGGCTCAGCGAGCGCAGCCTGTACAGGCCCTGGGCGATGTGGGTGAGCGCCTGGTCGCTGATCTTGTCGCAGAAGCTGACGTCCAGTGAATTGATGCCGCTGCCGCCCTCCGTCAGATAGGCCATGCCAATGTCGGAGATGTTGTCGCAGGAGCGCAGATTCAGCTGTTCCAGCTTGGGCATGCGCGCCAGATGCTTCAGTCCGCTGTCCGTCACCGACACGCAGAAGCTCAGATTGATGGACTTTAGTGAGGTTAGACCCTGTGCTATGTGACCCAGCGCCTCGTCGCTCAGCCGCTGGCAGTCCTGCAGGCCCAGATACTCCAGCTGCAGATTGCCCTCGGCTGTCTCGCGACTGAAGCCGGCCAGGTGGCCGATGCCCTGGTCGCTGATGTGCCAGCAGGAGCGCAGATTCAGATGGCGCAGCTTCTTGAGGCCCCACGCGATCAGGAGCAGGCCCGTGTTGGTTATGTTGCAGCAGCCGCCCAGCTCGAGCGTCTCGAGATTCTTCAGATGCTGCGCAATCCTGCCCAGACTGGTGTCCGTGATCTGTTTGCAGAGCGACAGGTCCAGCGTCTTCAGATTGGGCAGATCCACGCTGAACGCGTGTCCCAGATTCATGTCGGCCACATTGAAACAGCCGCTGAGATTCAACGATGTCAGCGCCGGCACGCCCAGCACCAGATCCTTGAGCGAGCGTCGCAGCGACAGGATCTGCACCTTCTTAATGCCGCGTCGCACCAGGCAATTGAACAGACTCGGACTGGAGCGCTTCAGATGCAGCTTGGCCTCGACACCCTTCCACACGCTCTTCGCATAGGCCGCATCCCGCCAGGCGGTGCACACCTGTGCCGCACGCCCCAAGTCCCGCACCGGCAGATGCTCAAAGATCTGCTCGAGCAGCTCCGGGAACAGATTGCTGATGTGTGTGCCCTCCACGGGCGGCGGGCTCTCCGGCGAGGCGGCTCTGTGCTGATGATGGTGATGGTGATGATGATGATGCTGGGCATGTGCCGCTGCAGCGGCCGCTGCTGCTGCCGCCGCCGCGGCTGCCGCATGTTGCAAGTAGAGCGCAGGTGGCAGCGTTTGCAGCTGCGGCCGATGGTGCAGCGCGTAGGGCGTGAAGCGCAGCAGGTGGTGGGCGTTGCGTGTCAAGCCGGGCAGTTCAGTCTGTTGATACAGTTCGTCCATATTCCAACCGGCCGCCGAGCCGGCTGCCATGCCGCCTGCTGCAGCCCCACCGCCACCGCCGCCGCCACCACCACCTCCACCTCCGCCGGCGCCACCGCCATGATAGTTGGTCAGGGCGGCGGCTGTCTGCAGCGAGATTGTGGTCTGATGATGGAAGGGCAGCAGCTCTGTGTTGGTGGCCATTCTATGTGGCAGCTTCTGCTCGAGTTTGCAACGAGTTCCTCGACTCGTCGTTGTTTTTGTTGTTGCCGCTTGTGTTCACTCTTGAGATACTTTATTAAACTTTAAATACTTGATGTGCGTCGCATTTTACGCTTGCTGCGACAGTTGCTTTATATGGATGCACTAGGGGACTAGATGAGCACTGCACAAATACGAATTTCGGATGCACTTGCTTGAAGCCAGTTGTTGTTTAGTCCAGATGAACGGCTTTTTTATCTATATTATTCACTGGCGAACGAGCGTTAAACGAGCTTCAAGTGAAGACAAAAACCGGACCACGACAATTGAGTTCCGCAGCGACGTCCGAACGGTTCGATGGCGAGTAACAGAATGAGCCACAGTGCGACAAAGCGACAGAATAAATGAGCGGCCGCACACATGCACACGCACGCCACCAACACAAACGCAAGTACGCTGAGCGCGACAGCAATGGCAGGCAGCTAAATTCAGCAATAGGCAAGCAGGTAATGGCGCTCTCTTGCGCGTTCGCTCTCTCTCTCTCTAAATTAGAGCTGCGCGTTGAGTTATCTTTGGCTGGTTTAAGGCTAGATTCTATGCAGCTCCACTTTTTAGATGCTGCTTCTTTTTTAATACCTATTTTTGCTTATATAAATACGTTTCTGCTTAGGGAAATGTTTAAACAATGTTGGGCCTTATATTTTATATATTTTTGAAATTAAATAAAACAAATTCTGCAATGCAAATGGAAGAAAAACTTGCAGCTATATTTTTGTAAACACTTTCGAGGCAGACAGCTCGCACAATATATACAAATTTATGTATTCAATTAAATTTAAATGCAACATAAATTTGGTTTCTTCTTCTTGCTATTTATTTATCTTTAAGAAAGAAAAGAAAACTAGAAAATCTCTGTGATTTATGCTAAATATTAGTGTATACCCCTGTCGAATAAAATGTTTATATTTATTATTTATATATTTTTTAAGCATTGGGAAAGCAAAGAAAACGGAAATATTTGTGGATTATGCAAAACAGCAGAACATTTTCTTAGTGAAAAAATAAAAATTTAAAACATGGAAAATGATTCACTCCTTTTCAGGAGTTATGCGGTCTACAGGGTATTTTTATGTTTCAAATTAACTTAGTTTACATTTTCCTACATTTTAATGTTGATATTCATATAAAAATTAGTTCTTAAGGAAGCATTTCCCTTCGCATTTTCTAGTCCAGACTTGGTTAAGATTTATGCCAAAACTCCGATGCATTTGTTGTGCTGCAGCAATGCATTTCAGGCACGATCATGTGAGCAGGTACCTGTCTTGCCCTGCCCCTGTATCTTTATCTGTGCCCAAGTGACAGTGTGTGTGTGTGTGTGCGTGTGTATCTGTGATCGTTTCATGTTGGTGCTTGTCGCTACCTGCGTCTGCGTCGGCGTCGGCGTCGGCGACGCACTACAATCCCGGTTTCCAAGAAAATATTAACGATATCTCCCAAAACGTTGCCGCACACAAAAATCCGAAAGGCAGCTCGAGTTGCAGAGCTGAGACCCGCTGCGTAGCACAAAAGCCGAGCCACAATAGCGGGCCACGCATTGTTATTGATACTAGGAAAGCAAGGCACACACACACGCACACACGCACACAATTGTGAATCCAAACGGAGCCTTAAAAAGGCAAGGAAAACGCCGCCGTCTCTAAAAACAAAAAGAAAAAAAGGGATCAGGCATCAGGAATTGGGAAAATCTGCGTCGCTACCTGCCCGGGGAAAACACACACACGGACGGACACCCGCATACGAACGCACCCTCGAGATCGTTTCGTGCTGGGGGCAAACGGTAAAAGGAAAATGCCTACGCTGATTTCTCATGCCCATTGTCTAGACTCCGGAGAGGCCGAGGGACTCGTACAGTCAGTCAGCTATCCAGATTATCCTTGCCGAGAGCCAGAGCGAGAACGAGCTGCTTTCTTTCAGTCTCCCTCTCTCTCTCTCTGTCTCTCACGCTCTTTTGCGCTCACCTTTGCTTAGCTTCTACCTGTCAAACCGGTTGGCCCAAAGGGCCAGGGCCAGGGCCAATCTCTGTACAGGCACGGGGACGTGGTCGTATCAAGGCGTCGCTGGCAGCGAAAAATAATCTGTTCGCTGGAACTTCGAAAGAAATATATAGTGCGGCAGATAATAATCGATTGGTTTTTGGCTGCCTTTCGCACAGACTGTGATCATCATTAGCTGCACCAGGTAGGCAGCAGCAGCAGCAGCAGCGGCAGCATCTTTGTGTAACTGCGGAAAAGGTGCAACACGCAATAGAGACAAGCATCCAATACATTTGTGGGCGAGGTGCCCAGAGGGGAGCCCACGCAACAAGTGCAAATCAGGCGACCGCGACCCCATTGCCAACTCTCTTCGCGGCGAGCCCAATAACTGGAAACCACAAGATACAAGATACACACATCTGTATGTATCTGCATAAATACCTGTACTTGTCACGTACATACTCACACACAGTTTATTATATATGAGGCTGGGCATATGCGTGATTACACACTGAAAATTGCTTTATTGGCTCTAAAGACTGTTGCTGATTTATGGGCGGTATTTCTGGCCCTTCCTGGTACTCTTTGCAGCTGGACAAGATGTGCACATCATATAACCAAGAAGTATTCTCAAAAGATCTCACGCTAGAATATAACCAGGCTGTAAAAATAACTGGCTTCGGTATACAACTAAAGGATATCTTGGAATCTGGTTCAACAAGGATCAAAGATGTTTAGAGAATCGTAAAGAATCTAAAGAACAAAACATTTAAGAATGTGATATGAATATGATCTTCAAGTATATCAGATACTCGTATATAGCTAGTAAGTATCTTATGCGAGCATCGAAGATATCTTCTGATCTAGCCAAGGCTTTAAGAGCATCATCTTATAAGATATATCCAGACGATCCTAAAATCTTTAAGCTAATCATAATCAGCAATAAATTCAAAATATGATCAAGCATGATCTATTTTATCTTATCTAGGCTTTAAATATATTCAGAAGATCTTCAGACTCTCCCCTCAGATAGCTAACATATGATTATAGAACTGCTCTACAAAGTATCTTATGCCCCTTTATGCAATTACAGAGTGCATAATAAAACGATTTTATGTAATATGATTATATATAAATTGATTAATTGCGTTTCTAATTGATCCAGTTTTAGAAGTACACGCAAATTAACCCAACAAGTACTGCGGGATTGTCAAACAAAGATGCCGCTACTCATTTTAATTGTTGTAATCGAAATCTGGCCTCAATTTGTATTCGGTTAGCCCGCATGCCCAGCTCGAAGGGTTAGCCGAGTTTGATAACAAATTGTGGGACCGACAGCGGCGTCTCACAATGACTGTGACGGATCGCATTAAGATTCGAGATGATGGTTCCTAGCATACATATGTCGCGGGAATGCAGTCTATTCTTTCTGTCAAAGCAGGAAGGGATTTCACGGGATTTCGGCATGATCAATCACACATTTAACTATATTCTCAAGTTGAGTTCCAGTTTGGGAAGCCTTCGATACTTTTGCAATGCTCTAAGACAGCTGCATTAGAGCTCAATTGCCGGACTGGACACTTGTCCGGGTTTTTGGAACCACTCGGTAATCTCTGTTCTATGCGGAAAAACTGAAAACTGAAACCACGTTGTGGCTGGCAGACAGCATTTGGCTCAAGTGCCAAGTTCCGCAGTTTTCTGTTGAAAACAGGCGTTGCTCTAGGGATTGAGCTGGTAAAAGATGGATGCACAACTGACAAAACATTAGTGGAAAAACTCCTGCTGCGAGAACTTAACAGTTCTTCAGATCTATGAGATACAAGTTGAGAAACGGAACAATTTTAATAAGTACGTTAAAGAAGTTCTCTAAAGTGAGTTGGAACTCAAAATAAACCAAATGGACAAAGAGAAGAGAAGAAGAAAGAGCTTCGAACGGGGAAGATGACATACGGGAAAGATAAATGTAGAAAAAGATCTTCAAATTATCTTAAAAAAGAAGAAAATGAAACAAAAAAAAAAGAGTTGTAAGTGATATAAAACATATTAGTTGACTGTCTTAAGTACACTTATTAAATAGTCTTAATGTTTTCCACATATATGTAAAATGTTCCTTTATTGTTTATGTAATTTAAATGCTATATGTGTATATATATATATATATATATTTTTTTTTTTTTTATGTTATGTATGGTAAGTAGATTTATGTCAGTTTTTCCTTTTCGTTTTTATGTTCGTTTTTCTTTTCGTTTTTTGAAAAATGTTTACATATGGCATACTATTATGCACTAGAAATTAATGTTGATTTTCATTTTAAATCTTAAAATTCGTTTACTCTATGACTTTAAAATACTCGTATGTACGTAGTTAATAACTAGTTGCTAATTAATTAAAACCCAAGAGCCCAACTAGGCTTCATTATGCTACGGAAGTGTAGTTCAACTCAAGCTAGTTGGCTTTCAATAATATAATAGTTTAGTTTATGTATGTATGGCAGGGGGGCATAAATATGTTGTGTAGTGTAGTGTAGTGTAGTATAGTGTATATTTACATGCATGAGCACCTCAACGAACTAGGGATATAAGTAGGAGGGTGCACGCAAGGAAGTGGCTTGTGTGTATATGCTAAAGCATTCTTTTGATTTTTCATAGTTTGATACATGCGCGTTTCTATGTGCTATATGCTAAATATTATTATTATTATTTTAAATATTATGTGTGTGTATTTAAACATTTCAATTCGTTGAATTAAGTCCAAATGGTTATACTATTAAGCAATGGAGCCGCACACTTCATTTGTCTGACCGTTTCGGGTACTTAAGAATCGAAACATGAT